TTTGCAAAATTACAGTAGAGTAAACGCAATAAATCTGTGAAATACAAGGTTCAAGCTACAAAGATGAAGTCAGTGGAGATTWTCATAACTGTACTATTACCATTTGCAATGTTTGGTTATGTTCTATACAAGTTTCTCCAAAACAAAAGACCAAAAGCCATCGASGAAGTTYTAGACCCAYCAACGGGAAGAAAAAGAATCCGAATATTTGACGGTGAATTTCAGCGTGGCGTTCATGATAACCTATATTTGTATGGKGAAGCRTTGGTAAGCAACGTCGTCTTCATTGAATCTATGGTACCGCTGAAAAAGGAACTTCTTGTGAAAGCCTTAGTTTCTTTGGCTAAAATTCACCCTCTTCTACGAATGAGGTGCGAGTGGCAACAAAACAATCGCTATCATACAGAAATGATTCAGTTCAGCCATAAGGAACTCTTGTATTCCGAAGAGAACACAGAAGACTGGGTGCGAAGGTTRGAGAAAGAACTGCAAGAGGGCTACGACTTAGCTCATGGTCCTCTTTGGCGTGTTGTTAAGACCAAAGAAGACTTTGATTCATCAAGKAAGAAGTATACCACCATTCTTCTACTTAGCTTTCATCATTCAATCAGTGACGGGATATCTATCATGAAATTCTTGGACAAACTTCTCGAGATTTTGGATCAGATTCACTCCAACACTTTTGTGGAAGAAAAGCTAGAGCCCATGCCTCTTTTGCCGCCTTTACTGGAGCTTATCAAACATGAGACTCAAATGAGCTGGTGGAAGTGGATAGCTTACAAAGCTAACGATAAATTAAGTACCTACAGAGGTGTACAAAACACCTTTCTTAACCTGTTTCCACCTCCTCTGGTACGAAATCCAACCATGGTACCTAAAACCTGTCTAATTCCAGGCTCTTTGACCGAAGCACAAACGATTCTTTTAGTACAAAATTGTAAATCGAACAAATGCACTGTCACTGGAGCACTTGGTGCATGTTTTGCAGTTGCAATATCCAGAATCGTAGAGGAAATTGGTGGAAATCCAATTGATGTCAATTTTCTTGTTCCAGCAAGGATAAGAGATGGCTGCAGGCCTGTTGTCTGTGATAACAGCTTTGGAGTTTACATTGGGATTGTTCTTCTCACTATAACTCTACCTAATACATCATCTCCAAATCCGTTTTTCTGGGATCTGGCGCGAAAGATCTCATTTGA